CAAAAATTTATCTGCAGATAAATTTATTTTTAAATTCTAAAGGGTTTCAACTGTACCTCCTAATTACGTAGTTTGCTTTTTTATCGTCTCCCCCCATAATCCCAAAACCAATAACACCACCATAGCCTGGAAAAAAAACTTGGAAATTTAAAATTCACAATAGAAAATACAGCGACGACTGTATAAATAACGGCCCAAAAACGCTACACAATAATCGAGCTGTTTCAAAGTACACCTCTTCTAAAGTTTCAGTCATATGTGACTGTATGTATGTATGAAAAGATAGATATGCTGGTATATGTAAAAATAAATAAAATACATTTATAACAAAGTTGTTGCCCCTCCCCTCCTCCTACTTCTCTTTGCATACATTTATGGTTCTCAGTCAAATAATAGTTGTGTTGGTTGTTTTTGTGATCTTAACACAATAACGTTATAAAGTTGTCTGGCTTTTGTTTTTTCCGTGGTGTAGACCCAGAGAGAGACCGACCAGACCCTCTTGCCGTTGTCCATACAATATGTTGTTGCTGATTCCCCCCCTTACGTTTTCAAACTCTTTTCCATAAGACCTCTTGATCGTATTTAATAACAACAGCAAAAAATTTGCTGTTCGGTTTGGCGTCTACTACTCCTCTAAGCTCTATGACAATACAATTTGTTGCTGTTGCTGGGCTTTCTGCTGGCATATTTTGTGTGACATTGCTTTGATAACAACACCATTTCCGATTTGAAAAACGAAACTCGTTAGATTTTTTTTCTAAAAATAGAAATGTTTGTAATTTTATGGATGATTTTTTATTTTGGAACTATAATGTTTAATTCATATACTATCAAATGTTTGGAATTGGATTTTTCTTAACAAAACTATTTATTTTTGTATTTTCAAAAAGTTTGCTTTTTGGTTGTTTTGTTTTTACCCAAAAAACTATGAAATTGCCATTAGATGGACATATAATAATGATGATGATGCTTCCTCCACTCAATAAACATACTTGAGACTATGGCCAAAATGAAGCGATGATGACGACATTGATTTGTTTTTTTAGGTTATCAGACAGCAAAGACTTTTGTTTTTTTTTTTCTTTCTTTCTTTTTTATTACTGGAAATTTCTGCAAAAGTTTCTTTTTTTAAACTCTGCCATATACAAAAAAGATAGATAAAGAGTTTTTGAGAAACAAAATAAGAAAAAGAGGAGGGTGTGTATTTTGATGTCTTTTTTTGCTTTTTTTTGCAATAATTCTTCCAATAAAAATCCCATGGAGAAATTAAAAAGGTTATTGTGAAATTGATTAGTTGGAGGAACATTTGAGGAATAGGTTCAAATTGATTTATTAAAAAAATATACATAAATTTAGAAATAATTTCTATTTATTTCTCGGATGAATATTTATGTTTCTAATCGAAAATTCTAAAAATCTAATCGAAAAAATCAAAATAATTTGAATAAAAGTAGGGAAAATAGTAAAAGTTGCCATATTTTCAAGAAATTTTCCAAATTTTAGGCTAGAACCAGTCCATTATTATTATACCCTCCACCATAGTATGGATGGTATATTAAGATTGTCATTCCGTTTGTAACGCACCCACCCCACAAAGTATATATATTCTTGATCAGCATAAAATTCTATGTCGATTTAGCGATTGTATTCGATCTTCCCCAAGTCCAAACTAGTCATTCGTTTTCTTCGAATTCAAATCTCCTTTTTTGTTTGTGGAGAATCCCAGTTCTCTTATTTCAATAAGTCTTCTTATTTCATAAACTTTTCTTATTTCAAAATGGAAATTTTCCAGCGAACGTGATGCATCTCAGCCACCATCCATCCATCCATCCATACTTCGAACAACGAACCCTGGTTGCTTATGAATTATGGCCTTAATGTCTTAATTGTTTTATTTCGTTTTTCATGTACAGTTTTGGAGCCACAGTAAAACAAAAGAGGAGAGGTGTTTATGCTGGATTTTGGTTTTTCTCAAGTGTAGTTGGTTGGTGTTTTTTCTGCTGTATGAGATGCAACTTGTTTCTTTTTTACTGCATCGGCCAGCAATTTGCTTTTCAAGCAACAGTTTATTTTTGTATCTTCTTCTGCTTTAAACAATAATTTTCTTTTTATGCATCCCATGGCTGTGTTTTGGGTTGAATTGTTGTCTTCACTGTTTTTTTTTTCTTACTTCTTGGTACTTCCCCTCAATATTCCCCCCATCATTTGGTGTGTTTATAACACAATGCTAGTGTTTTGTTATTTGGTTGAGAGCTATCTTGCCAGCTGGCTGGCTGGCTGTGTTGCCCATAACAGTGGCGTCGTTGTACGTGCTGAAAATCTCGTTGCCTTCTCTTGTTTGTCTGTTGTCTGTCCGTTTTATCGTAAACTGCATTTTGTTTCATTTTTGAATATTTCAACGTTTGTTTTGTTGATGGTATTTTATGTTTTGTTTATGAGTTTCCTGCCCCACCATACCCAGTTTTTTCTACTATTCTTTTATGCATTTGAATAAAATATTTGTCAGACTTCTTTGTACTCTAGGAAAAAAAAAAAAAACAAAAAACAACAACTTTGAAACAGGAAATGGGGCCCAATTGTTGTTTTTTTTCTATTTTGTTTTTATCAAAACACAATTGTTGAGTGCCCATCTTGACACCCTAGTTTGCATAGATTTCCATTAGTTTTTTTTTTAATGGATGGGTTGGACTTTAGCTATCATGCATTGCATTGCGTATGGAACTCTGTGGTATTGTAATCTATCAAAATTTACATTGGGTATTTTTGTTGTAATATCAATATCTCCACACGTGCCAGTTTGATTTTTCCAGACACTTTAACAACAACACTAAGAGCAGCGCCCTCGCAATCACCAACCAAATTCCAATTTTGTTTGAATAACATTATCGGCCTGTTTTGAGATAACACAAAAAATAAACAAAAAATCAATTTAATTTACTATGTTAACAGTTGTTGTAAAAAAGAGGTGGTGGTGATGATGTATTAATCATTAATGACACGTGAAAATAAATACTACACCTAATCTCACACCCGTAACACATCATTACTCTGGATTTTGAAATGTTGAGGAAAGTAGCAATAACTCTTAAGTTTATTTGAAAAGTTTTACATTTTTAAATATTAGCATATATTTTTAAAATACAAAGATCTCTCGTCACCCTTTTTTAAATACAAGCGCAGATGAGTTCAAGAAACCTCGTCGCTGTAGATAAATGAACTTTTGTTTTGTCACGTTGAAATTTTTTCTGTCTCAAAATGAATATTACATACCGCCCCGCCCTATTTTTATTTGATTTTTGTTTTTGCCCTTAACATTTTTGTTGCCCAAAGCCTCCTACAACTTATTATGATGCATGCTATTAAGATATGGAACAAAATTTAAATTATAGAACCAATTTGGAATTTGTAAAAATTTTTCAGTTTCAAAATTTTGTTAAAAAATTATTAATTTTTTGAAATTTATTTATGCATGCTTATTATAATTAAAAAAAAAAAACAATATAAAGTCCCAATTTTGAATTCTTAAATATTTTTGAATTTAATTTTTTTATATTTTTAATTTAACTTAAATTAAATTTTTTAATTTAAATTTAGTTCTAATTTGCACCATTAATTCACCTTTTATTTGTCAAATTAATTATTTAATTTTGAGATTCTTTTTATTTTACAGCAGCATTAAATTACCCACACCCTTTTTATTATTTTATTTTAACTCATATCCCCACACACACACATACACCAAAAAAAAAACAGAAATGATTTTTGTACATTACCACCATTATCCCTTGTTATATTTTTATGTTCTTTTTTCAAAACTAATCTTTTGTTTTATTATTCCTCCCATATTTTTCCCTCCTCCGCACAGACCTGTAAGTTAAACAAATTCAGGATAAGCAAAAGCAAAACATTATCATTTTACCAGAAAAAAAAACAAATTTTGAGAACATCGTTTCATCAATTTTCTACAACAAATACTTCTACAAAAAAAGAATAATACACACACGCGTAAATACCAGTCAAAACCATAAGCCTTACTTGGAAAAAGAAAAGCTTGATTACCAAACTAAGATTGGTGTGTGGTCAAAAATATATTTAAAACAAAGCACAAGTGTTTATTATCGTTGATAACAACAGCAATAACAACAGCAGCAAGAGCTACAGCAAATCTACAACAATACATAATAAACCATTAATTGTGCTTTTGTTTGATTTGTTATCAAATCAATTTAAATTTTTTTCCTTGGAAAGAAATTTTTCGTTCATAAAGCGTACTTTTTCTAAAAAAAAGTTTCCTTTGGGACATCAACTGACAAGAGAAACCAAATCTCTTTACAAATAAAAAAAATACAAAATCAACGACGTGAGGGTTCAAATTGTTTGTTGTTTGCAAATTGTTGACAAATTTTTGGTTTAATTCCCAAAAAAACAGAGGAAAACTAAACCAAAAACTTAAAGAATAGTACTAAGGTTTTTGGAACAACAACGGAACTCGGCTTACTTACATTTAATGTAAACAAGCAAGTTTCGTCCATTTAACCGGTGTGTACAACACAAGTAGCAAACAATAAATTTTATTTTCGGTATAATTTTTTGGGTATTTATCTCTTATTTTCAATATATAAATATTTTAATAAGTAAAAAAGGTCCTTTTTGTAACTAACCATAAAAAGGAGACCTTTTTGAATTGTAATACAGCAAAACAATAAAAGATTGAGAGTTTTATATACGACGCGCAAGTCCATAAAACTCGTTGATATCACTCACACATACAAAAAGCTGAAAATAAAATCAAACAATTTTATTTTTCAAACACATAGTTTTGAAAAATAATTTACCTAAAAAACGGCCTAGAAAACTTTTTTCTTCATTTTATTTCTCTTGTGGTATTTTTCTTGAGAATTTCCTTCGTCTTTCGTGGCGGATTCTTGAGAGAAGCCAAAGCTAACATTTGAAATCAAATCAAAAAATTATTCCTATTGTAAAATTTACACAAAAAATAGGTACTAGGCCAGCCCTCACAATGTCTGTCCCTGTACGCTACTCTGCTGCCGCCAATTACGCCGTCGCTGATAGTGGTCTAAACAATCAAGAAGAGCAATATCACCAATACTCTGAACAGGATTTGTATAACCACCATTTCAACAGCCATTTGAACAACAACATCATCTACGGCTACAACAGCGTTTTGGAGGAGCAGCAGCAGTTGTTGATGCAGCAGAGCACATCGATGTCTGTGATGGTGAAGCCTGAAGACCTGGTTGCAGTAGGAGCAGGAAACATCAGCCGCGGCAACAACATGGCTACCAACAACATCGCCCCCTATCATCAACAACATATGGATCAGGAGCCACAGGCCACAACATCGGCCAAGGCCCGTGAACTGTTGATGGTCGGCCGTGGTGGTGGTGGCTCGGACAACGAGCTCCCCACAACATCGGCGATGGCGATGGCGGCGGCGGCAGCAGCAGCTGAATCTGCAAATACTGCAGCCATTAATGGCAGCAGCCGTACTGCAGAGATGCGAACTGAGTGGATGAGGATGTCTGACGAGGGCCGGTATGGAACACCGAGTGCTGCTGGCTTGGATTATCAGAAATTTGAGCTGGAACAACAACAACAAACACCTAACAATCATATGGACCAAACCATGGAGCCTTCGTTAACGGACAATGAGAAGAAAACAACAACAACAACTATTAACAATTTGGAAGATCAACTGGTATCGCTATCATCTGAGGAGCTTTACAATACTCTTAAGGAATATGATGCATTACAAGATAAATATCACACCGTTCTATTGTTGCCGAAAGAATCAAGGGTAAGTTGATGATATTTTTTCGATATTTTAATTGTCAACAATCCTTCCTGAAGGAGAGAAAATTCTTTCACGTAATCTCCTCAGTACTTACAAGACAGTTTTGGCGTTTATCTCCAGAAAAGTCTAGACAATTTTTCAAAATTCTAATTTGTAACAGCTTTTATTTGTCATATCACTAGAGATTTGGATAAAATGTGCCATTCTTAAACATAAATGATTGGAATTCTCCTTCCTATTCCTATTTGAATTCTTTGAGTTTAATACGTTTTAACAACTTCTTTCTTTCTTCTTTTTATAGCGTGAAGTTACAGCTGGTGGTCGTGATGGCTCCGCTTATGTTTTACGTTGCCTTAAAATTTGGTATGAGCTGCCCTCCGATGTCTTATTCTCCGCCATGAGCTTAGTGGATCGTTTCTTGGATCGCATGGCTGTCAAGCCAAAACACATGGCCTGCATGAGTGTTGCCTCATTCCATTTGGCCATTAAACAATTGAATTTGAAGCCTATACCCGCCGAAGATTTAGTTACAATCTCACAGGTAATTTTTGAGCAAGTCCTCCATTACTAACTACTTGATTCAACCTCAAAGGAAAAGGAGCATCTTCAACTAATAAAATTACAATTTTGTTTAATTTTCAGTGTGGCTGTACTGCTGGTGATTTGGAACGTATGGCTGGTGTCATTGCCAATAAACTGGGCGTGCAAATGGGTCATGCACCCATTACCTCGGTCAGCTATTTGCGCATATACTATGCCCTGTTCTATAATCTTGCCAAGGAGATTGGCGGTCAATTCTTTGAATTCTACAAGCAATTGATTAAATTGGAAGAATTGGAGAATCGCTTGGAAATTCTGTTGTGCGATGTGAAAACAACCGTGATAACGCCATCCATTTTAGCTTTGGTATTGATATGCCTGCATTTAGATTTCCACATTAAGGAATCATATACCCGTGGCAGCCCCGAATTGAAGCATGTCTTTGAGTACATACTCTTCTTGCAGCAATATATGAGGGTAAGTTGCAAATGCATGGACAAGAAATTGGAGAGAAATGAAAATTTGAGTTTTGTTTTTTTTTTTTTTTTTTTTTTTTTTAGATTCCCGATCGTGTATTCACCTGCGGTTTTAGCATTGTTTCGGGCATCTTGTCCCATTACAATGGACAAAATAAACAGCCCTACAAGCAACGTTTGGTATGGAAACTATCCAGTCGCACGTTGCGTGTATTGCGCCCAACCAATCGTTTTTCAACCGACCTGCCCACCATTGATGAAGGCATTTCTAATGTCATGGACGATGGATGTCGATCGAGGTAAGCATTTGTTGTTATTATTTTTCTTATTATGGCATTTTGTTATTCAATGTTTTTTTGTTGGTTTGTTTTGCGAAAAAAATATATGTTTATAGAGATAGAGAAAAGATGAAGCAAAGGTCATTTCATCATATGACTGGCAGTTTTAATTTAGTTTCCATTTCTTTTTTGGAAACTATAAATAGATTAGTTTTCTGAATTGGAGATTTGCTTTAAATAGCAGAAGAATTTTGTATATTAAAAGAGGTTTTTATTAGATTTCAGGTTAGAATTTGAAAATCGAAAGCTAGTATGTTTTAATTTAAAATCCACTAAGGTCCCATAAAAGCTCTATTTTCAATAACAATCCTTTCAAGTTAACCAGCATTATTTAGCCTTTGGAAGGTTAAAAAATGGTCACACGCAAATATTTGTTGTTTACGAATCCAGTGTCGTATGAGTGTTCTAAACAATTTTGTATATATTTTCAAGTAGTAATGTAAATTGTTTTTGCATTTTGTTTATACATACGCCCAAATAGAAACGAAAACAACACCATATAAGCTTGGGCGGCGTAAACAAGTTTCTAAATTATTCGACAAAACAGAAAAAGAAGCAGCCAAACAACAATAAAAACTAAAAGTTAGAAAAAGCTTTTTTGGAATATGCTTTCGGTCCGTGTTTGTTGTTTTTTCAATGATCACGAGTCTTGGCAAACACATGCACGCACACACAACGCAAACAGTCAGCCAGCCAGTCAGCCAGTCTATTAATGAAATTTGTTGTTGTGTCTGTCTCTGAATTGAGTGTTTGCGTCGTTTTTGTACTTGTTTTTTTTTTTATTTTTATTTATGTCTTGTTTGTTTTTGTTTTTCGCTTCTTCTTCTAAATATGTGGGCCTAAATCAAAAAAGCTGCTACTCATATATTCAACAACAATAATAATAATATTAGGCACTTTGGCCGAAATTTTTATGCTGATTGATTGTTTAAGTGTGTGTGTGTGCTCACATATGAGTTTTGGTTTTAGGCATATGTGCCCTGTTGATTATTGATTGACTCTTAACTATGCCATGAATTTATCTATTTTTTTTTTTTTTTTTGCTAAAAGTCTCTTCACATCAAAAATTTTCTTTGTTTGAATTTTACGTCAATAACTGTGAGAAAAACATATTTTAAAGAAATCTGTTTTAGATAGCCATTGTCATAACCTCAAATTTATAATTTTGAAAGTGAATTTATATTAGCTGATCAAATTAAAAACTCAAATGTTCGTAATAACCAAATGCTAACATATAAGTATAGGTCTTTTACAGAAATTATATTATTTTAAGGTCTACTTTGAGTAGAAGAATTCATCCTCTTTGCCAACACACATAATCTCCTTATTCCGGTCCTCCAGCAAATAATAATATTAATAAAATACAAGTATTTGTAGATAACGCCTTTATTGCTCGTCTTTCTATTTAGATATTATTGAGGCGTTTCATCATTGCAATTCAAAATCGATTCAAATATTTTTTGATATGTCAAATAATGAAGAGTCGATAGAAATTGAAAATCACGTGATTAATTAAAAATAACAAAACACAGATTAATTAGAAGTAGAATTGAAATATTAGAAACCACATTGAAATATTTATGTTGATATGGAATTGAGATTTGCAAATGAAAATGCGATTTTCCAATATTTCGAAAATTCTATTTTCGTAACAAACACCTACCTAGGAGAATATAAAGCTGTCTTGTTGTTCTTTTCAGTATTTTATTTTTTAACGTTTGTTTTTTAATTAAATTAAAATATGTTATAAAATAGAGCACTGAATTTTCAATTGGCCATAAGACGCCGAAAAAAAGTTGTAAAGAACAAATCTGTTTTTCTCATATTTTCTTCTATTTTTCGTAAAATTATATCTCCACGGAATTATTACTTTGAACTCTGTTCCCTTCCGTCCCTTTTTAAAGAAAACTTTCCATTTCTCAAATGTTTACTCCTCCCCCCATTACCTTTTCATATAGGGGGGTTTATCTAATCATCTTTTCAAACAAATATTATTTTCTAATTTGCCAAATTAATTTCTTTGTTCGTTGTGACTGACACCAAAAAAGAAAAAGAAAAAGAACAACAAAAACAAAAACAAGAAAACGAATACGAATATTCTCGACAATAAAAATTGGAAATAAACAACCATCTAATGAACGTCATATGTGGTGTGTTGTTTACGTTAATGCTTTATATATACAATGTATATATAACTGTATGTACATATATATTTTTATTTTAATACAATTTTTTTGCAAAATAACACTGACAACAAGTTTTTCAAGTTCATTACTCTTGGTTGAGTTTTGTGTTTTTCTTCACAAAATTGTTTTTATCATTTTGAAACATTTATTTATTGATGGGTGGTAAGGCGAAGGTACTTGGACTTTCAATTGGCTAAATTTCTTATTACATAACTAAAAAAGGGAAAGAATTTTGTTTTGTTGTTTTTTTTTTCTGTCGTCTGTCCAACACATATTTTCCTTTTCTATTATCATATTTATGGGAACTTGTGTCATGACGATTAGCTGTTTACTTTTGGTTCCCCCGAAAAATTGTTTTCGCAAAATTTATTTACGCCGATGCCATTGATTGCTGCTGCTGATGTTTTTCTGTCCCCAATTCGTAGGCATGTGTTAGTTTTGACGCAATATAAATTAGCACAAAAACAACAAGTAGTTTTGAATTATCATAATATGGTGCTAGTAGTGTGGCCTCGTAGTGGAAAAATTTGGAGTATTTTTATTCGTTGTTTTTAGTTTTTTTCTTTTCAATGAATTTGTTCGTGTGTATTCTTTGAGGGAGATTGATTTATATTGTGATTATTTTCACTATAAATTTTTTGCCACAGACATCTCATTCTTATTATGGGTGTGTTGTGATTTTTTTTTTGTTGTTTTCTTCTTGACCAATCCAATTTTTGCTTCCTTGTTCGTTTGCAGTGCAGTCGTATGTTTTTGGTATTTTATACAACCACTTGCACTTGTTGAACATTGAATTGATAACCCATTTTCTAATCTTGCTCGTCTGTCTGTCCGTCTGTTTGATTGCCAAGCGGTGGTGTGCGTAATCGGCCGGCATACATATTTATATATGTGCAAATTTGTCTATAGTATATATATATTCATTTATTTTTGTTTTTGCACAATTGAGAATGACCTTTAAATACAAAGTAACACGTGAAGTCGTCGTCTCTGCCTGCATGACTTGTCTAAATGAGTAGTGCGATTGCAGTTTTATTTGTTTGTTAATGAAATTGCATTAGAATTTGTAATAAAAAAATAATATTTTACAATTCTCAAGTTTCTATTGTAAGTCTTATCATAGATTGGATAGAATAGAATAGCGTCAATAAATAATGTGTTTATATTTTCGGTCTATCTCTTTTACTACAAACCCTTTTTAGGAAATTATTGAATAATGGTTTCTAAATCTTTCCATTATGGGCAAATAATGCAAATAGTTGGAAATTTAAACTAATTTTACTTAAATTTTCTCCTTTATGGGCAAAAGTACTAAGGATTTTGAACTGAGTCCAAAATTCAATGAAATTCAATAGAAATTTCTTACAGTTACAATTATAATAAATAGAATAATATCAAACACGTTTAGACTTAGATTTTGGATGTGTTAATTTTCCAAATAATAGGGAAAAAATATACAGGGTGAAAACTGCAACAAAGTCAAACGCCATAATTTTTACATTTTTTTTAAATTTTATTGGAAGAAAGCAAAAAATATAGGAAATAGCATCAAATTTTAGAATAAGTTTAGATTTGTTCGCATTGGTCACCTTTGGCACGCATTATGGCTTTCAAACGGCCAATGAAACCGTCACACGCTGCCCCCGAATTTTGCTCTGCGGTATTTTGGCCCATTCCCGGCGAAGCGCTTGCTTGAGGTGATCAACACTTTGGTATGTTTTAGTGCCAACCTTGCTTTCCAAAAACAAAAGTCAAACGGATTGGTATCCAGAGATTATGGGGGCCATTGTGCGCTGGAAATGAAGCGCGAGGTACCTCATTTTGTAACAATTATTGGGTGGCGCGTACTGAGTGCGATGGTGTCAAGCCCTGTTGGAATGTCCAAGGCTTTTATACACCCTCCAGAATATTTCGCATTTATTCTGGGCGGAAAGCGACCATCGGCTGTTATGGCGGCCCACACCATCACCATGGCCAGCGCTTGAGTTCTGGTGGCCAACCGAAGGTGCACATTTTCAGCTGACCTCTTTGGCAAGTAAACAATAATCGTGTTTGTTTACAAACTGCTGGGCAATGAATGTTTTCGCATTGGAGAAACCCATATTTGGCCGTTCACTACTTTCGGTCAAGCGAAGCAACTATTTTCTTTCTGTTGCGGTGTAAGTTCTTGCACTTTTTGGAATTTCAATGGTTTTACCCCGGGCTCATTTTCCAATATTTGCCGAATGGAATATTGCGATATGTTCAGCTCACGAGCCGTTTTTCGGCCACTGCGACGCGGGTTTCGATCAAGTCGCTTCTTTACTTTTCGAACCATTTCTGCTGATGTTGCTGTTTTTTTCCGTCCACTTCCTTGACCTAAGGATTACATTAAAAGAAATTTTTTATTTATTTATTTTATATATTTTATTAATAATTACTTTATTTTCTATTTCCTCGTCACAAATGCCACTAAAATTATGTTTTACTAAATTTTACGTTTTCCATTTTTTATTAAATGATTCTTCTCTTTTTCACATTTCCAGAACCGAAAGTGTTAGTTCTGAAGAAGAGGAGGACTGGCCAACTTCACCCATTATTCCAATATTCGAGCAATGTTAGTACGAGACCAACAACCGGAAACAAATAGTAGCATAACAGGATCAAAATGTTAAGCCAAGAATTATTATTTACTTCAAAAATGTCGGTATGCCCAAACAAGAAGCAAACAAACAAACAACAACATACACTACACAACCGTCCATTTAGTGCCGTGTGAATGCGTTAAAGAAAGAAATAACACACTATAGACAATAAGGACATATATGGATATGGATGTGATATGCTGCTGCAAAACAATAAATGAAAGAGAGGAGCCAACAAATCAAGAAAACACATCGCAAAGGATGAAACTACAATGTAAATGTGTAATGTGATGATAAATGACTCTTTTTTCGTTTTGGAAGCACTAAATGCGGTTGTTTTGTTTAAATTTGGATGAAAAAAGAAAAGTAAACAACAACAACATAAACATATCCTGCAAATATACTGCACATTGTAATGTGATGTTAAAGGTTTTAATTTCGTACTAAACAAACAAACATTATTTTAAACACAAACAAACTCAATATATCAACAACTGTGGAATACTTGGAATACACCCTGCAGCTTTTGTCAACATTAAAAATAGCAGCAACAAGAAAAGGAGATGAGTGTATATTTTTGTGTGTAGCAAATGACAAAATGCATCATAATTTAAACTTAAGTTATTTATCTATCCCTCTACCACCCGCCACATTTCTGGTTCTCTAATTGTCTAAATCAAAGAATGATGTAAAGAATCCTCCTCCTCTACTATTTCCAATTGATGATGAGAAGATGATGAAGAAGAAATCACAAAAGAAGAGAAAACAAAAGTTGAAGAAAGAAAGCAACCATGATATTTTAAGATGATTAGAAGATATATCCATAAGTTTAAATATCCAAATTTTATTACTTACAAAAACAACAATAGCAACAACAGGAAGATATGAAAGAAGAAAAAATCCGAAAAAAAACTTAAGAAAAAAATCCAAAAAAAAATTAAAAAACTTAAATATGAAAGCGGACCATCATTACCAGGATTGATGTAGTTCCGGACCTTTTTGAAAGCGATTGCAATCGCCAACGAAAAAACGAAAACTTAAAACCACCAAACATCAATAACACCACAATATGGTAACAGCCAAAAGCCCTGGGCTATCGATTCGTTGCCGTCAGTAGTTCGTCTATTGGCAAACGAATCAATAGCTTGGGCTTTGTAAAACAAATGCTGGGCGTTTTTGTTATTCCATTAAGGTCGTGTCTCTGTTGTGATGGACAAAAGATGTGACTGATGACATTCCTGCCAAAAGAATGTCTCAGCCAGCAATCGCGTCACCATTCAAACAAAACACTCTCTTCTTGAATAATTTGGGTTCGCGCTCAACATAAAATATATTAATTTTAATATACAGTATAAAAAGAAAAAACCAACAAAAAAAACTTCTTAGCCTACAATTAAGTGGAAAATCGTATAGAATGGAAAAAAACCCCTTATATACATACAATAACAACAACAAAAAAACATATATGTGAAAAAGAACAAAAACAAAAAACCCAAAAAAACTACAAAAAATATTCAAAAAATCTAAAAAACATAAAATCACCATTTTAAACTACCAACTACTCTATCCATTAGATGAACAGAAAGAAAGAAAGAAAAAATCGAAAAAAAAACTTTAACTTTATTAACTAAATTAATTCATTAATTACAAACCAAATCATCAAAAGAAAAACAACAACAACTAGTTTCTGTGTGTATCAATGTTAATTTCGAAAAAATATCCTTAACAAGAAAAGAAAATATTTCAAATTTTGTCCTTATTTTAGTTTTGTTTTGTAAAGAAGAAGATGAAAGTACACAGGCCCCATTTCTTTATTAATGTTTATTAAAAAAATACCGTAAAATTGACCTTATCAATCATTTTTTTTGTTGTCTCCAAATATAATTTAAAATTTATTTAAAAAAATCTACAAAACAAAATTGAATGTTTTCTTTCCGAACAAACAACTTAAAAGCATAAAAAACAGGAACAAGAAGAAACAAAAAACTAACTAACTTTTGTAGAAGTTTATAAAAGTACAAAACGTTCTAGGGAAGAAGAAACAAGGGGGCAAGGATAAACACTGAAAACCAAACGTGTTTACCTTTCCCTTTTGTTTTTGAAAATATATATTTTTAAATTAATTTTTTAATAACATACCAAGCAACACTCTTACTGTAAAATATTGTAATGAGTTTATTTTCAAATGAAACTTTTTGTTTTGTTGTACGCTAAACAGTTGTTCAAAATAAACATGACAATCTGTAAACTAGATTTCAATTACTTAAAGGTTTATCAAGAATCTCATTTTATTTTGGTAATTTGGATAATCCAAAATAGCTACTGTTTTGGCCAATGCAAACAACAAAAGGTTTTGTTTATATTCTTTGTGTTTTGTTTTGTTGTAAACAAAACACAATCCCCCCAAAAAAAGAAAAAACAAACATCAAACAAAAATCAATCGATGTATTTAAGACTGTTCCTCGAAGAAGAAAGAACACATTAAAAGTCTTCAAATCCTTAAAAGCCTTTCAATCAAAAAAACAAAACGTAATTAGGAGGCAACTGTTTGTAAAACTTCTTAGCAAATTTTGCAAGTGAAGCCAAGCGTCCTTTTAGCGGCAATGGCTTTTCTCTAACAGCCAGACGCCGTTTGCCGCTAAAGCTGTCGCCCAACATAGATCTCAATGAAAATATCAATATTTTCGCAAACATAGTAGATTTATTGTGAAATAAAAACTATTAAAAAAATTTGTGTTTTTCAACACACACACAAAAGATGTAAACGCCTTTCAAATAATTCCAGCCTTAATTGTTTCAAGGCGCAATAGCAGCGTTTATGTCAATCAAAAGAAAAGAAAAATTAAACTAAAGCAAAGAGATTGTTAAAAAAGAGTATTTACGATTGAACTCTTTATTTTCCTTGTGATTATCATGTGTGATATATAGTTATATAGCTATCTATCGTGTGTACATCATCCATCATTTTTATTAATCATCATAACAAATTATCTCTTTTTTGTTTAAGCTACCAAAATTCGGTTTACTTGCAAAGTTTGTTAGTTAGTTGGTCTTAATTAATTATTGTAATGATGTGAAATAAAGAGAAACAAAGAAGAAATGCAATTTAAATTTAGTTTTCTTAATTTGTACACAAAAACAACAACAATCCCACTCTCAGCAAATCGAACACACCCGCCCTTTAAGAAAAATTATTATTATTAGTAGTATGCCCCCACCCCTAACCTTCCCAGAAACCAAGAATTTTTTTCTTTGTAGCGGTATTTTTTTATTTTTATTATTATTTTGCTTTTTTGTTAATTTAATTTTATTTGTAAACTTAGTTATACTTACCCCCTATACAATATTATATAAATATACACAATGTTTTTTTTTTTTGTAATTATAAAAATAGTGATTTTTTCTCTCATATCATCTGTTTTTTTTTTATTATACACTACTCTATCATTAATGTTTTTTGTACAAATTTCAATTTAATTCTTAGAAAAAAGAAAAGAAAAAATCACCACTATATATAAATATACAAACAAAAAAACAAAACCAATATCAAAACAATCTGGAGTTTTCTCAATTTTTATTTTCTCAAATTTATGAAAGGAAAAATAGAACATCATATTTTATTGGCTATTTTTTCATAGGATCATCGATCGCCTTGACATATTCAATTATGGAATTATGATGCATAAAAAAAAACAAAAACAACAGCTATATAATGAATTTTTCTTTTAAGTTTACTACTGCCTTCTTTTTATTTTTGGATATACACCCATCTTCTTGGGAAGCAATTGAATGCATTATAAATAAACAAAAACTAAAACAACTACAACAACAATAAACCTTAAACATCATGAAATTTAAATATTTTCTTTTTGTAATAGAAACAAAAAAATTATCAACAACAAGAAGTATAATAAAGTTGGCTCGTATTTGAAATATAACTCAAAAGGAATTTATTCAACAAATTCCTCTTTTAAAAAAATAAAATTGAAAATGAGTTGTTTCTTCTACTTTGGAGGGAAGGGAATTACTTGATTTTTTATTGTAGGTGTTTGACAAAATTATTTGGATGATTACGACATTTACTAAAAACCTAAATACCGCTTTACAGCCCATAATCAGCCTAAAATTCTAAGTCGATTTAACGATGTCCGCGCCTGTCTGTTGAAAACACGATACAGCCCACATTATTTAACGTAGACCTTAAAAATTTGGCAGAACAATTTATATTGTGTCTAGGATGGTTGGTATTGAAAATGAGATATAGCGGTCCACGCTTTGGAATAGCCGCCATAAAGCGGTACCTCCCGATATTCGATATTTTGATGATTTTCGCCTGATTTTTTCACGGATTTGTCTAAAAATTTTTATTTGTTGGTCATAATGGGTTGTAGCTCCGGTGCGAAACATTGCATGTATAAGTCCACGTTTTGGTATAGCCCCCATATAGCGGTACCTCCCGATATTTGATATTTTAATGATTTTTGCCACATTTTTTCACGGATTTGTCTGAGAATTGGTATTTGTAGGTCATAATGGGTCCTAGTTCGTGTGGCAAAACATTGTATGTATAGGTCCACCCTTTGGTATAGCCCCCATATAACGGTATCTCCCGATATCCGGTATTTTGATGATTTTTGGCACATTTTTTCACGGATTTGTCTAAAAATTTGTATTTGTAGGTTATAATGGATTCTAGCCCCGGTGGCGACACATTTTATATATAAGTATACGCTTTGGTATAGCCGCCACATAACATTACCTCCCGATTTTTGCCACATTTTTCCACGGATTTTGTCTAAAAATTGATATTTTTAGTTCGAAATGGGTTCTATCTCCGGTAGCGGAACATGGTATATACAATACATGGAGGGTATATTAATTTTGTCATTCCGTTTGTAACTCCTCGAATTACTCATGTCAGACCCAACAAAGTATATATATTCTTTATCAGCGTAAAATTCTAAGCCGATTTAGCCATGTCCGTCTGTCTGTGTGTCTGTCTGTCTCCCTCGTTACCTCCCGATATTCGGTATTTTGATGATTTTAGCGACATTATTCACCTGAATTGTTTCAAATTTAGCATTTGAAGTTCGTAATGGATACTACAGCCTAAGACAGAAAATTATTATCACGTCTTCGTATAGCCCCCATAAAAAGGTACCCCTATATTCGGTATTTTGATGATTTTAGCGACATTATTTACCGGAATCGTTTCAAATTTAGTATTTGAAGTTCGTAATGGATACTGCAACATAAAACAGAAAATTGGCCATGTAGGTTCACGTCTTCGTATAGCCCCCATATACCGTACTCCAGCAGCGACATTCGATATTTTGATGATTTTAGCGACATTATTTACCGGGATTGTTTCAAATTTCGTATGTGAAGTTCGAAATGAATACTTCAGCCCATGCCAGAAAATTGTCTGTGCAGGTCCACGTCTTCGTATAGGCCCCATATAACGGTACCCCCTATATTCGGTATTTTGATGATTTTAGCTACATTATAAACAGATTTTTCTTCAAGTTTCGCAATTAAATATTGTAAAAACAATGACAAAAGTTGTCTATGCAGGTCCACGTCGTCGTATAGGCATTCGGTATTTTTAAGATTTTAACAGAATTTTTAACGGATTTTTTTTTTTTTTTTTTGGAAATTGCCAAATTTGTACCAGATGGTGGAGGGTATTAAAAGTTCGGCCCGGCTGAAGTTACAGCTTTTTTACTTGTTATCTGATGCCACGGTCGATTAATACGAGCGGAGAGGGACCATCGGCTGTTATGGAGGCCCAAACCATGGCCGGCGCTTGCGTTCTTGTGGCCAACCGAAGGTGCACATTTTCAGCTGACCTCTTTGGCAAGTAAACACGATCATTTTGTTTGTGTACAAACTACCCGGCAACGAATATTTTCTCATCAGAGAAAATCAAATTCGGCAGTTCACCACTTTCGGCCAAGCGAAACGACTCTTTAGCTCTTTTGAGTCTATTTTCTTTCTGTTACGGTGTAAGTTCTTCTTTCGAACCACTTCTGCTGATGTTGCTGTTTTCTTCCGTCCACTTCCTTGACGTCGGGCTACGCTACCAGTATCACGGTAACGAGCGCTGATACGAGACACAAAAGATTTATTCACATTTAAATGCTGGATTGCTCTAACGATAGCCAATTGTTGTTTTATTATCGCCAAATATAAAGAAATCACACTATCGCGCTTGAATTCCGTCACGAATAACTTTTTTTTCTGGAAAATTCTCACCAAAATACTTTTGTAGGCTTGTAAAACATATAATTAGCTGTTACTGGAATAATTTTAACAGCTGTCGGACGAGTGGCTTAGAAATGACAGCAGTCTGAAGTTTGTCGATAAATTAGGAAAATGTGATTTTTAGACATTATCCTTTTAGAAACACTGGTTTAAACAGCTCACGCACGTTTCGTGGTTCGTCTCACTGTCAAACATCATCAGTTTGGTCTATAATAGGTACTATGAATTGTCGATTTTGGAATGAATATCAGAAAAAGCATTGCAAAAACTACTAACACATTTAGGTTACAGCTTGGTGAGGTTTATGGACTGGTGGCATCTTTAGACTAAAACTAATGCCCATACAGACAAGTCCTCTTCAATTGACGTATTGAAAGACAACATTGACGAATTAATTCGTGAGATACAGGCCGAAATGTTGCAGAGTATGCCAAAATTGGACCAAGCGGACGGATTATTTGAGGGGCAGGCAGTCGATATTTGCACATGGACCGTGCTATCAATTCAAATAAAGATTTCATGCACTTTTCTGCATTTTTAAATTATAATATTATAAAAATTATAATTAATAATGTGAATATAAGATGTTAATAGCACGATATATGACCATTTTTGTTGGAATGTTGCGAACTACAACTGCATACCAGCAGACCAAAAAAAAAAAAAAAAAATAAAATAATTACAATTACATAGCTCCTGCATTACCGGTAAGATAAACATTATAAGTTTTTCCCATAAATATAGAACAAAGTTGGCAGTTTGGTAAGTATTTCCTGTGACATGTCTATGTAAAAATGAGGGAAAATTTTATTTGGTGCCAACAATTATTTGGTCTTTTTGCTAGGATGTGAAAAAAGCAAACTTTTTATGGTAATTGAGATTATTTAGCATTCCAAGGTGTTTTCGAACCCACTTAGAAATAATATTTCGATTTTGTTAAAATAAGCCTAAATTATGGAAACCCCTCGCTTTATATTTAAATAATAAATGTGTCTGCGTACCAATTTGTACAAATGTTTAAGAGGGACAATCGATATATGTGAAGCCTGAAAATTGTAGTATTTATATCAAATTTAATGAGGATTACTATTTAAAGAAATGTTGACCTTTTTTGTGAAGGAGCCGCAAGTAGTAGGCTGATATTGTCTATTTTTGTTCTCGATTTAAGCGTAATAGGAATACATTGATGTACCAGGTTCGGACATTATAATATACTTCCTTTGCTTTATATGAAATTTTTCTAGAGATAGGTATTTTTACCCTG